TAGGTTATAATATTTTTTAGGAAAATTGAACATTGATATTTGGAAGAAATATTTTAATATTTTAAATCTGTATTAGGAAACTTATTTTCTTATGCAATTTTGCAAAGATATAATTTTTATATACAGTGAGAAATATATCTTCTACAAGTAATTTTAAAGTAATAGATCTGGCAGGCCGCCTAAACTCTAGTATTATAGAGATTTAAGCAACTTTAAGAATAATTTGTTTTACAGATAACTTTGTTGCAGTAGTTTTTTTTTAAACTAAGGAAAACAAGGACCATTTCACTTCTGAATGAAACAAAAAAAGGTTTTGAAATGCCATTATGCATAGTCAGCTTGTTATTACATATGTGATCTAAATGTTTTTCTGCTTGATTTTTAGCCAGGATTTCATATCAGACATTCTTTTTTTTTTCCCAGTTATAAGGCCATTGAGCCATCTTTTGAAATGTTTCTCTTAAGTCTTGTTTCAGCATATATGTGCATTTCTTTTTGTATTTTTTTCTCATCTGGACTCTTAAATATCTATTCTAAGATGCGGTAACATAATTTGACAGTGTGAATCCATAATGTGACTAGATAGGAAGGAAAATTTGTTCATATGAAAATCCGTTAGATCTCCATTATAGGACTTGAGAGAGAAGAAGTCTTCCCAGAACTGTAGAAAAGGGAGAGGAGCAAATATGTGGAATTTCCTATTTTCTACCTAATCATGAACTTTTCCATGTGTGAATGTTTCCACATGAACATGGTCATTCCAATGAAAGAATTTTATTTTTTGGCTGTGCCCTGCAGCTTGAGGAATCTTCGTTCCCTGATCGGGGATTGAGCCGAGCCCTGGGCCCAGCCATGCAGTGAAAGCACCAAGTTTTAACCACTTGATCTCCAGGGAATTCCCCCCAAATTTTCCTCTTTGTTATTCAACAGATGTAGAGTATATATTCTGACTTACAGCAGTTTTGATCTGCCTAACTGATTCTCTAGATCAAGGAGTTGACACAACTTTTTTGATAAAAGGGCCAGTTAATAAATTCTAGACATGTGAACTACGTGGGCCCTGTCTCCTTTTCTTTCATTTTTAAGCAGTGCTTTAAAAATGTAAGAATCAGTTTCAGTTGGTTAGTCCTACAGAACAGACCAGAGGCAGTTTTTGGCCTCCAGGTCAAGGTTTGCCAACCCTGCTCTAGGTAGATAAAATTTAATTATTCAAGTGCCATTTAAAATTTTAGATTAACCAATTTAACTGGAGGCCTTTTGAAAATCTTTTTGTAAATATGAATGCCTTAAAAAAAAGCTTTTTATTATGGAGAGTATCAAATATATAAAAAAATAGAATGTAGTATTGTAAATCCTCGTCATACCAAGCTTTAATAGTTACCAACATTTGACCAATCTTATTTTGTCTGTACCTCCTTCCCTTAGTAGCTTGAAGCAAATTCCAGGTATCATAGCATTTCATAAATATTTCAGTATTCTCTTTTGTTATGTTTTTTATCCGTCCTTTTCTCAGTGCCGTACTGTTTTGATTACTGTAGCTGTATGGTTAAGTTTAGAAGTGTCAGGTATGTTAAATCCTGTAACTTTTTTCTTTTATCTATTTATTTAGATGTTTTAATTTCTCTATATTCCTAGGTATTTCATGTTTTTACTGCTTTTGATAAGTTTTAAAAATGTAAACTTCCAATTATTTTTTTCAGTTATGTATGCTTTATAGTCAGTTATCCTTTTAGGAAATTAATGAGAGAGAAAACCTTGGTTCTGTATATTAAAATATTCATTAGTTTTGTGAACATGTCTTTCTGGTATGCTTCTTTATCTGTAGGAATGTTCCTCTTTGAATTTTTCTTACAAAAACTTTGAGAATTGAGTTGAATCCTTTTTAGGCATTATTTCTTCAAATATTTTTTCTGTCCTCCCATTATCACCTCTCTTTGAGATTCCAGTTCTTTTCTGTTACTTATGTTCGAGGAAGATGGCTTTAGGGAAGCCCAGGTGGCTTGGTGGTAAAGAATCCACCTGGCAAACAGGTGATGCGGGTTTCATCCCTGGGTCAGGAAGATCCCCAGGAGAAGAAATGGCAGCCCACTCTAGTATTCTTGCCTGGGAAATCCCACGGACAGAAGAGCCTGGTGAGCTCTAGTGCATGGGGTCTCAGAGTCAGACACAACTCTCATCGAGTAAATACTACTTTTAGATGAGGGTTGGGTAAGCTAGCCTTTTGCTAGGTTTGTGGCTGGAGGAATCCTCTGCTGTTATGTAGTATTCAAAAATATGTCTTCTGAGACCTTTCCTCCTTTCCTTCTCTGCCTTTATCTAGATCAGGGTTTTTCACTTTTTGCAGTATTAGCACTTTTGGTCAGCTATCTTTGCTGCAGGGAGTTGTCCTGGGCATCGTAGGATATTCAGTGGCCTTCTGGGCCGCCCTGTGGTACCCACTCCCCCAGGTATGATGACTGATAACCAGAACTGTTTCTCAGCATTATTAGATGTCCTCTGGAGGGGCAGAGTCTTTCTTGTTCTAGACTTTCCTTTACCCCAGTGACTGTGTACTGCTTTAGTTCAGATTCTCTTCCTGGCAGTTTCTGCTTGGTATGTTGCTCTGTCTTAGAAGGGAGTTTCAGTTAGTTTTCAGATTCCTGATGTTTGTGTGATTTTCTTGCATTTACTTATATGAGTTGTAGCCTGTGAAGCCCCTTCTGAGTTTCAGTTGCTGTTTTACACTGAATTGAAACTGTCAATTTAAGGGAGGGAGTAGGAGGTAGTACTTCTAGGTAATTTGTTTCTGTTTGTTCTGGCTCCAGGGCTGTCCCAAATCCCTTTCCTCTTCTTGTTATGTTTCTGATACCATGTGGGTCTTGCTGCTGGTGGTGTTTGGTCCTAACTTGCAGTATTTTAGAATTCATGAGTAATATGTAGTCAGTTATGCTGTATTTTTTGGCCATTTTTATTTTGGATGGTTTGATCTGTTTGTTTCCTCATAGTTGCTTAGTCTGTTTTTGTCAGTCTCTCAGTTGTGTCTGACTCTTTGCCATTCCCTTCTCCAGGGGATCTTGATCCAGGGATCAAACTGGGGTCTGTAGCGTTTTGGGGGGATGGTTATTCAGGGATATTAAAAAATTATGTCTCTTTCATTGCCGGGTTATCCTGACTGCCTCTGCTTTCTTAAAATGAGTGTTCTAAACATGATAAAATATTTTAAATGATGAGTGAGACGTGTGCCTGGTCATGGACTTGGAGAAAGGCCTGGAGAGGGAGAGGTTGAAAATGCAAAAGACAGGTCAAAAAACTGATGGTGTGTTTGTGCCCCAGAGGTGACCAAAAGGGGTGGATACAGAAGTAATTTTGGTAGAGGGATTAGCTTTGGACTGAAAAACAGGACAGGTTATCTGACAGGAGAGGTAGGGAGATGAGATTTCATTCAGATAGTAGTTTGCAAGTTTGTAGTTGGAAGCTGAGGAATGTCACATTTGGTTTCTTCAATTTTCTTAGTAAACTTTAATGTGACGTTATCTGCTGAAGAAAGTGAGATAAGTATAGGGAACTTGAGGAAAGGTATAAACATTTTGGAATGCTGATGGTGAAAAATGGAAGCATTATCTAACCAGAGATATTGAAGTAATTGCTGAGAGATGCTATGGGTTAAATCTTAGGTTAGTTTTTAAACTGTAAATTTGCAACATACCAATTTTGTGATTTTTTTCCAGTTAGCAACTCACAAACAAAAGCAGAGGAGGTGGTTGTATATAGTGAACCTAAAATTAGGGTTTTGTTAGAGCATGACGACGGTATAATGTTAAGGTATGATAAAAGAGAATGGTTCAAGGGGTGCATTGTGGAGTATAGACTGGGTAGGGAAGGAAATCATGCTGTTTCAGGTGCTGTTGGGTTGGGAGAAAGAGAGGATCCAAGAGAATCCAGGTCTGTGTGGTTCTCAAGAAGATGTAAGAATTGGACAGGAGATTGAAGCCTATCTTGTATGCTGGAATTTAAATTTTCAAAGCTAGAGAAGTTCTGTTTTATTGTAATAATCATGTTATGCCTGTGTAACATTGATGAAAAATATTGGAGTAAAAGAAGTTGAAATGGTGGGAGTATATCATGATACTTACCCCACTGTAGGTAAGGGACCTATGGTGATGGCAAGAGGTCGTTTGGAGGGGAAAGTACGAACTGGAAAGTGAGATAAACAGGGAGATCTGTCCGTAGGTGGCCACAAGAAAGCAGGTCTCAGGGCAGTGCTGTAAGAATAGGAAAGAGGGTGGTTTGCATGAGTGCAGACAACCAGGGACTTCTCTTCTGAAGTCTGTTATACTTGGTATTCATGGTATGAATACCAGGGCTTGGATAACCTTCTTTAAAGGGCCAGAAAGTAGATTATTGTAGACTTTGTTTCTGTTGCTCATTTTTGTTTTGTTTTGTTTTTGTAACCCTCTAAAAATATAAAAACCATTCTTAGTTCATGTCCCATATAAAAACAGTCAGTAACTGAAGGTTATAGTATGATGACCTATGAATTATACTCATGAATTCTCTGTGATTTGTCAGTGATACTTTAATTTGTAAAAATTGTAAACTATTTCAGATACTAAGTAATTATTATTACTTGAATGGTGGTCGTTTTGTATTAGGAAGTGTTAAGGAGATAATATATATTTATTTTATCTGTGACTTGTCAGTGATACTTTGTAAAAATTGTTAACTATTTCAGATACTAAGTAATTATTATTACTTGAATAGTGGTAGTTTTATATTAGAAAGTGTTATGGAGATAATATGTATATATGTTATCTGTGACTTGTCAATGATACTTTACTATGTAAAAATTGTTAACTATTTCAGATACTAAGTAATTATTGAATAGTGGTCATTTTATATTAGTGTTAAGGAGATAATATATATTTATTTTAAAAATACTGTCAGTAATTTTATACTTCTTAATATGGTGGTAACTTACATTTCTGAATGAAATTTTTACTTTTTTTTGTGGTACATTTAAGTTGAGTCAGCAGATACTGGAGTTATTTGAAGCATGTCAGCAGCAAGTAAGTGATTTAAAGAAGAAAGAACTCTGTCGAACAGAGCTTCAGAGAGAAATTCAACTGTTATTTCCACGTATGTTTCCCTATTTTGCTTGCTTTTTAATTATATGCATTCCTATTTTAATTTAAAATAACATCTTATAATTCTCTTCTGTTTCTCTAGAAAGCAGACTTTTTTTAGTTGGGTCTTCTTTAAATGGATTTGGTACTCGGAGCAGTGATGGTGACTTATGTCTAGTTGTTAAAGAGGAACCAGTAAGTAATGAAACATTTATGTGTGTTTTTCATGTTAAGTCATTTAAGAAATTTCATGTAAAAGTCATTGAGGGAGAAAACCCTGCTTTGTTTTAATTGCTTCTTTGAATTCTCTAGTAATTCAAGGAAACTCAGGAAATGCTGCTGCTTCTATTTTTTTTAAGGCATGTATACAATAAAAATAACAAATTATAGCATTAATTTATTTCTAAATTGTTAAAGTGAGGCAGTTTCACTGTGTGTTTTTAAAGAGCTGTATCTTTATTTTGAAATGCCATTGGATTGGGTATGATACCAGGATGCAGCAAAGAGGAAGAGCTTGTCTTTTATCTGCTTGATTTATTTCCTTCCATTTGAATTCTCAGTGATTCTGTTTTTAATCTGTATTATTTTTCCCTTGAAAGTACTATGGGATTTGGAGTTCTTATTTTGGGAATTAAAGAGAGATTTCTCTGAAATGTAAAATAAGACTATTGTGATTTAAAGTAATTATCTCTGATATTTTGACTTTGTTTCTTCATACTTAGCAACCAAATTTTATTTTTTATTATATTTATTTGAATTTCCTGTTAACTGATACTCTTGTATGTCCTTAGTTCCACAAAAATTCTTGTTTATTAAACTCACCTGAGCAGCCTCTTGAATATGCTTAAGTCTCTTCTGAATTACTGAAGATTAATTTCAGTGTAATTTTAATATGCCTTATATTTCACCTCTTAAAAAATAAAAAAGCCTCTATTGAATGGTAATATTATTCCTGTTAGTCTAGTAACAAAAATGACTTTCTAGTTACTGCAAATCAGAGAGAGATTTATTCCAGGAAAGAAACTCCTGATACTTTCTAGGCTTTGATAGCATATAAAGGAAAACTGAAAAAAAGAAAAGCCTCAGAAATAGTAAACATAATGAAGAATACTAGAGTTTTAATTAAAACTTTTTCTCATGCAGTTAGATTATACTTTAGTTCAGTTCAGTCACTCAGTTGTGTCCGACTCTTTGCGACCCCATGAACCGCAGCTCGCCCCGCCTCCCTGTCCATCACCAACTCCCAGAATTTACCCAAACCCATGTCCATTGAGTCAGTGATGCCATCCAACCATCTCATCCTCTATCATCTGCTTCTCCTCCTGCCCTCAATCTTTCCCAGCATCATGGCCTTTTCAAATGAGTCAGCTCTCCTCATCAGGTGGCCAAAGGATTGGAGTTTCAGCTTCAACATCAGTCCTTCCAATGAACACCCAGGACTGATCTCCTTTAGGATGGACTGGTTGGATCTTGCAGTCCAAGGGACTCTCAAGAGTCTTCTCTAACACCGCAGTTCAAAAGCATCAATTCTTCTGTGCCTAGCTTTCTTAATAGTCCAACTCTCACATCCATACATAACTACTGGAAAAACCATAGCTTTGACTAGACAGACCTTTAATCCTCCATCTGTTCACATGTCTGAATCATGCTTGTCACAACTTATAATGAAACACCATGGATTTGAACCTTATTTTTAAACAACTCACAATCTAGATAGGGAAATAAAACATGTTACAAAAAGTTAAAATTCTGTTTATATTTTTCTTGCAGATTATTTTTTGTACATTTATACTAAAGGAAAAAATGACATATAGCTGTTGCAATATTTCTTTTAAAGTTGTGCTTTTAAGTTTAAAATCAGAAATTGATTTAGAAATATTAATGTTAAAGATAGCATAAAGGTTGACCCTTAAATAATTAATTTAATGTATATTGAAAAATAACTCCAATGAAAAGTATGCTCTATATGCTTTTTTTTTGTTGTTGAGATACATTAAGAAAATAAAACATTAAATTTAGAAAGATAATGAAAAAACTTTATTTTTAACTTTTCAGTGTTTTTTTCAGGTAAATCAGAAGACTGAAGCACGGCATATACTCACCTTAGTCCACAAACACTTCTGTACTAGACTTTGTAAGTCTGACATGCCTCATGTTCATATGTCATTTGACATAACTATTTATTTAAAATGTCTCTCACTGTGTTTATTTTCTGATAAGAATTGTTTTATTTTCTGGTGAGATTAGGTATAATGCAGATTCTTTTTCCCAAGTGAATTTAACTTTTAATTAAAAGTAACCATTTATTTGCCAATTCTTTCTACTTGCAAGCTGTCTCATTGAAGGTAGTCAGGAATTCAGAGATATGTAAGCTTTAGTTTTTCCTCAAACAGCTGAACGCTGTTAGGAAAGTTAAAGCATGAATGTAAGTAACTGCAGTGCAGAGTATCTCAAAAGCCAAAAGAACACAAGTCTTACTTCTATGTGAGGAAGAGAGCATCTCATCTGTTTGCAATGACAGAAATCTTTATTTGTTTTAAAAATGTGATCACTGAACCCAAAGCCCAAATATATCACTCCAACTGAAAGCAAAATTAATGAATTAGGCCATTTTATTGTAAGATTTTATTCTTTGAATAAGCTGACAAAGCAGATTTTAATCCACAAGTTAAGCCATCTCAAATAATTTAAACTTCTACAGAATATTGTGGACATTTGAAGTCACACTAACTGTGTGATCTTGGATAGACTATTTGTCCATTTATTTAACAAATATTTCTTATGTGTTAGACTTTAAGGTGGAAAATACAAAGTCACTTAACAGGTTATTGCCCTTGAATGACAACTGATAAAGAACAACAACTTTTATCAGTTGTAGGAAAGAAAGCAAGATATTTATTTCAGTGGACTTGAATTTTGCATTTGTAAAATGAAGGAGAAATTCGTACCTTAAGTGGATTTTTAATAATTATTATTAAAATCATAAAATATAAAAAGTGAAAAGGACCTTAGAGGTCATGTAATTTAAAATGAAAGGTGTTTTTTTTTTATTAGTGTTTTTAATAATGGAGTAGTCAGATTAAGGGGTAATCAGTGAGTTTGGTGACTTGCCTGAGGAGTATAGCTTGTTGATGTGTGAGCCTTTACTACTTTTAACTCTTAATCTTATTTTTCATTATACCTCATTGAATTCCTGCACATAATTGTATTTGAAGCTTGATGTATAATTTTGGTGATAAAAGCATTATAACAAAAGTTTTAGTTTTAACATGTGGTATTTAAGTTTGGTGGAGTACAAAAATTTGATACATGTTTTTTTCATACTTATTTGAATTTTTCACTGTCCCATGTATTATGTTGCCAGCATTTCTACATTTAACATTTTCTGTAAATGTGATTCTATGACGCCATGGTATCTTCCACGTGCTATAGCAGAATTTAGTTATCCCCCTGCTGCTGGCCTAGATAATTCTCCTATAATGCTCTGATGAAATTCTTTATAGGTGTTATTAGGTATTAGACCACATTTCTAAACACAGCATATTAATATATAAAACCCTCTATATGGTTTTGGAAGTTCTAGTCTTAGAAGAATTTGATAATGTCCTTTTGTCTTTGCTTTCTCTCTCAAAGACTGTATTTTTTAAATTGTTTTAGCTAAGTAAAATACTACTTTTAAGAAATGTTCATTGGAATACTATTAATTTGAGAAACATTTACAGATACCCGTTTTATCTTTTATCCTTCAGCTAGTTACATTGAGAGACCTCAGTTGATTCGAGCAAAAGTGCCAATTGTGAAGTTCAGGGATAAAGTCAGGTAAGTAGTTACTGAATTTTTTCAGTTGCTTTAGATAATTTTTAGCTATTCTTCTGAGGTAGATAATTAAGGAGGGTGTGCTGTTGCATAATAGCTTCATTAGTTTTTGGAAATGGTTTGTTCTCTTAGACGATTTTTTTTAAATAATCTGAGCAGTTGTTCATGCTTAACTCTCAGCTATTCTGGTTGACATTTTGAATATTTGAGACTATTCATAGCTGAAAGAATATAGTATTTTAGATTTTTAAATGATCTCTTCCTTTTGGAAATATAATATGCTCTGAGAACATACTTTAATTCATGAAATTTGCTGCATGTTTATATCAAAAGAGGTTGTTACTAGTATAATTATATCTACATGTTCTACTATTAATAGTTTGGGTTCTGAATTTCTTACAGGCATTATTATTAGAATTTATATAGGTATATACACTTGATCCTCATTATTCATGGATCTCATATTTGTGAATTTGCCTACTTGATAAAATTTATTTTGTAACCCCCTGAATTAATACTTGTAACACTTTTATGATTTTATAAACCTGCACAGAGTGGGCGAATTTTTAGTCACCTGATGTACATCTTCCCAAATGAGTTTAACAGTATGATACACTTGTCTTTTTGTTTCACCTCTCATATGTTGAACAGATGCCTTTTCACAGACTAGTTAGTGTGCTTTTTGCAGTTTTGTGCTTTTGTGCATTAATTTGGTTTAAAATGACCTCCTGGCATTGTGCTGAGGGGTTGTAGGTGTGCACGAAGCTGTGATGTGCCTTCCTGGTGTGCTAGATGTGTTTTATCTAGGGGTGAGTAGTGCTCTGCACAGACTTCACTTTTATCGATTGAACAGTATATTAAACGTCTTTAAATAGAAACTTACATGAAACAAAGTTACATATTGATCACTTGATGAAAATGTGCCTCTAGGCATATTGATAAATAGGCTGATGAAGATGTGACTGGGGCTCCTGGAAACCTAACCCTTTGTTTCCCATAGGAGCAGTGGCTCAGTAAATCACTAATTCAGTGTTTGTGATCACTGTGTAGAAAATAACTACTGCAGATAATCAAAATTGACTGAATATTTATATTTTTTCCTTTTTTTTTAAACAAATCTTTAGATAAGTGATGGCTCAAACTTGGCTCTTCCTTCATCCAAACATCCATCCAGTCTATAAAGATTTACTAAATTTCTCTCAAGTAACAGTGGAACATTTTTTTTCCCAATGGTGGAGTATTTTTAAAGCACAAAGATATAGGGAGATAAAACATACATGTAAACAAAACTGTTAGCTGATTATAATCATTTTTAAAAACGGTTGTAGTTATAATATAAACAATATAACAAACAGAAAATATAAATAAAACTATTAACTGATTATAATTGTTTTTAAAAATGGTTGTAGCTGTAATTATGTAAACAATTTTATTCTTTTTCAATTTAAGATTATCATACATGGTTTTTTCATTGTTAAATGTTCTCTATAAGCACCATTTTATCATCCTTCTATATATGCGTCATTAAGAAGAAGGAACAACTGCATTTTGATCATTCAGATATAACTGATGTTAATGTTTTGGTGTAAACCTTTCAGTCCCTTCTTTATGCATATGAATGCATAAGAGCTTTTAAAAGTAAAATTGAGCTCATACTTTGTTACTTAGCAATATAGCATGAATGCTCGAATCATTGAATGTCCTCTGGCTTTATTTTCAATCACTTTACAGTATTTCAGTGAGTGGATTTACTGTCATTAACTTAACCATTCCCTGTTTGAATAAGCATAAAATTCTTTCCATGTTAAGGAGTACTTCAATATTTCCAGAAGTAGAATTGAAGAAAGCACTGTGGATATTTTTTAAGCTCCAGATTCATATTTTTGGAAAGTTTTTAATTGCAGACTACTTTCCATCTAAGTGTTTTTTTCCTCTTTAAGTTACACAGAGGGAGTGCAGACTAGTTTCAGTGTTAGATTTGTACAAGCACAATTAAAGAATGTAACTCTACTGTTACACCATAAGCTTCCCAAAGCCAAATACATCTGAAATTTTAATGTCACTATCCATGTTTATTAACATGCATGGATAATTGAAAGATTATAGGATTTCTTTTCCCATAACAAAATCTGAAATGGTATATTTCAGATTTTACAGGTAAAAGCTATAGAAAGGAATTTTATGCTTTTATTTAAGGCACTTTTCACAAAAAGACTCATTGTACAGAAGTTTGACCTGATAGTATATGAGCCTGTTACTTACGCATTAAGTAGTCATTTTGAATTTAGCTGTTCTTTACATATACCATTGTTATTGCTGTGTTTTCTAAATTGTGAATTGCATGATACCTTTGGTTTCAAAGAGGTGTCCCTTCTGTTAGGTGTTTGGCTCTTACTGTTTTTACTAGACATCAATAGCCAAGTTTGTTATGATAATTTAGTAACCCTTTTGGAGGGAAAATAAAGTGTAGACAGAGGTTTTATTTTTTTTCACCTTACTTTATTTGGCTTTTCATTCCTATTGTTTTAAAGCAAATGTTGCTGTCATTCAAAATTGATTGAGAATTTATAACAGTGGGATAACTTGCCCAGAAGTATGTTTGGTTATACAGTTCTGTTTATCTGAAAAGTATTACAAGATGAAAACTTTTTTTTGTTAAGAGTGACTGTAGCCTTACTGGTATAATACATATCTTTCAATATCAGATCATACTAAAAGTTGTCTTTGGGCCCATGACATTTTGTATCATTGGATGAACGGATGGATATAAATTTAGTTACTAGGGAGTTAGTTTAATTTGTACTTGAGCTGAAATTTTTATCTTTTTTTTTTGAAAATAGTTGTGTGGAGTTCGACTTGAATGTAAACAATATTGTTGGAATAAGAAACACATTCCTTCTCAGAACTTATGCATACCGTAAGTTTTCTTGTGTTTATTTTCAGATAATTATTACCTTCTCTGTTTATCCTTTATTCCTTTATAAAGATGTGTGACACCTCTTTAATTATTTTTGGGTACAATATGTCTCACTTTCTTATATATGTAATGTGTTACTACACTGAAATCACATACCACCAGTAACTCAGTAAAATGAATTTTGATAGTTTGTAATTTTAAAAAAGTAACTGAAGTATGTTTTATATAGAAATAAGACATATCTATGGTAAGCAAAATGTTTAATAGCAGGAGGGATTGCCCTTTCTATCGGCACAGAGTTGGGAAATAATGTAAACTTTCAAAGAAACTTGAAAGAAGAAATGTCTTCTTACCATTTTTAAGTTTTAATTTTACTTTCAGTTGAAAATCGAGTTCGTCCGTTAGTACTGGTGATTAAGAAGTGGGCCAGTCACCATGATATAAATGACGCCAGTCGCGGTACTTTAAGCAGCTATAGTCTTGTACTGATGGTTTTGCACTATTTACAAAGTAAGTATTATGGGGTTTTTTCCTAATTTTTAAAATGGAAATGCAGTTAAACTTGATTATGGTATTTTTCCTGTTGATCTTATATTCAGATATCGTTTTAAAAAGTTTTTTCTAACGCACATAAAAACCACATTTCCTACTTTGCTGCTTTGAACAAGTGTTTTAGGTAATGTTACCCCTGGAAAACATTATAAAGAAGTTTCATTGTATTTTTAAATTTTGACAATTTCCTATATTTGCTTTAGTATTCAAAGAACTTTCACCACTGTATTGTGGACCCATTGTCTTAAGCCAGATGAATGTTTAGAGGCCTGTGAAAATAAACTCAAGCACCATTCATGATGTTCTTTTTATTTTTCACTTGAACCAGGAATTAAATTATTTTCCTTTTTCTCTAAATGATTTTCATGTTGGTTTAAAGGAGCTTTTATTTTCTATGGGCTGTCCTGGAGATTGGATGAAATACTTGACGTTAATTAATGTAAGACCATTTACCAGTACGTCTAGGCTATGATGTGTTCTGGCTTAATGTTTCACAGTTTAGAAAGCAGTGTTGTAATATTTATGTTTATACCCTTTCACTCAGTGATTTCATATCTAGAAATTTATCCTCAAATAATGAGGGATGTTTATATGAATTTATATAAGGCTATTTTCATGGTATTTGTTGAAATACTAAAAGATAAAAAATAATTTAAGATTATAAAAACCCATTAATTTAATGGTTAAATTAATTATGATATATCCTGATATTAAATTTATATGAACACTAAAAATCATGTTTTAAAGTTATTGAAATAGAAGGAACCTCATGATATGCTGTCATGCACAATAAAATACCAATTTTATTCAAAAAATAGTTGCTATGAATGTGTATATATTCATATATATTCATATATATTCGTATGTATACAAATATTGAAAAGGTATATGCTAGAAATTTGTCTGGCATATTTATAGACAGTAGTATTTATTTAATTTTATTTATTTTATTATTTATATACAGTAATATTTATTTTCTTTATATATTACTGTACTTATAGATATTTTTATTATATATAAAGTATATTTTTAGCTGAACAATGAAATCAAAATGAGTTTTTTTTTCAGATTCTGAGAGAGACTTAAAATAGTTTAAATGGGCCAAAATTTTGTGATTCAGGGATGATTAGAAAGGTTAGATATTCTTCCTCTGTTGTTAAAATATTTCAAGCTAATTGTAATATTTTTGTTGCTGAACAGTCTTGGATATATACTAGTTTGATGATTGATTTGCCACACCAAAGTGATTTGAAACATGATGTTGGCTGTTTTAGATGCTACTTTACATATCACCAGTTATTTTTGTTCAATTTTATAGTTCAGTGTGAAACATTACCTTTGATGCTTTTATAGTGAACTGTGTTCTTTTGTGGATTGCAGTTTACTTTCATGAAAAATGGAATTGTTTAGAAATAATTCTTTTATAAAATATGAAGAATAATATGGCTAACACTTATGTATTACCACCTAGTGTCTATTCATTTTTAGTTTTAGTTGTGGTTTAAACATCAGATTTGACTAAAACATATAACATTCATGAACATTCACAATATGTGCCCTATCCGTCCATTCTTTTGGGTTACATTAGAAATTTTAATTTGATTGCTTTTTTAGGAAATGTACTTTAATCACAGGGGCTCCATGGAGGTTTTGTAAGCAGTAACTCAGATATTAGTGGGACTTGCCTGGTGGTCCAGTGGTTAAGACTCCACCCTTCTGTTGCAGAGGACCTGGGTTCCATAACTGATTGGGAAACTACGATCCTTCATGCTGTGCAGCGTGGCCAATTCAAGTATTAGTATTTCACCAGTGTAATAAAATCATGTTGAAACTTGGTTTAGATTTTGTTAAATGTATTTTATTCTTGACAAAGTGGTCTCATTTACTAAGGTGATTAGTAATTTATGGCACTCTAATCAGCCATTTCTAGGTATTTGTTAAAAGACATCAGCTACCCAGACATACTGGGTAATTCTGTACTTTGGCAGATTTAACCCACTCCTCCCTAGAAGAAATTAGATTGAAATAAGTAATTGCTTTTCTTGTCATGCAAGACTCTTCAGGTGTATTGAGCAGTTCTAGCTCTGCACAGTTAACTAATTTTTGTGATTTTGGCCAAGTAATTCTACCTTGCTAGCCTTAATATTCATCTGTAACACTAATAGTTAGATTAGATGACCTTTAAGTTTCATTTAACTTTAAATGCTTTAATGTCTTTTCTGCCATGAACAGAGAAAGGAAACAGGTCCTCTCTATATAGAAAGGTTGAAAGGTTAACTAATGCATTTCCTAGCACAAATTTCAACAATTAAGGACTGTAGCATGCCAGGCTCCTCTGTCCGTGGAATTTTCCAGGCAAGAATACTGGAGTGGGTAGCCATTCCCTACTCTAGGGAATCTAGGGGATCTTCCCAGACCAGGGATAGAATCTGGATCTCCTGCATTGCAGGCAGAGTCTTTATTGTCTGAGTCACCAGGGGAGCCCCAGTTACAAACTACATGTGCTTGAAAATGTGACTCGTGACGAGAGTTTACTAGCAATCTAATATTAAGAGTGTTTTGAGAGAACAGCATCGAAACATGTATATTATCTAGGGTGAAACAGATCACCAGCCCAGGTTGGATGCATGAGACAAGTGCTCGGGGCTGGTGCACTGGGAAGACCCAGAGGGATCGGGTGGAGAGGGAGGTGGGAGGGGGGAACGGGATGGGGAATACATGTAACTCCATGGTTGATCCATGTCAATGTATGGCAAAAACCACTACAATATTGTAAAGTAATTAGCCTCCAACTAATAAAAATAAATGGAAAAAAAAAAGAAATAGGTGAGTCAACATTTAAAAAAAAGTTAATAGTAAAGGCAAAATTTGTCAGTTGGTTAGAAACAATAATATGAGTGAATGAATAGTCGTGGACTATCACCACATTACCAGGTATAGATCTATCTTTAGGCATTTAAAAATTGTTCTTGCATTTTCAGAATTAGTGGTTGTTTAGTGTCGTTGAGGATCTGCTTTTTTTTTTAATTAGTGTAATCTTTGATGAATTAGCATGGAACGTGTATGTGTATAAATTAGTGAAGGCCTGACAAGAAAGCTCTCATTCGAAATACAGGCAAAGTAAAATTCTATAGATTAAGTCTGTTCAAGGTATAATCTGTTGGTCATATCTTTTAATAATAAACTTGTCTTATTTTGCTTTTGAGAGAGCAAAATATGACTTCAAAATAGATGTCATAATAGATGTTACAGAGATTCTTCCAGAATCTGTATTGCTTTGGAATAAAATATTTGGAAAAACTGCTAAATGTTTCGAGGTTACTATCAGGATAGCATTGATAAATAATTGCCAGAGTACATTAATTGCTTCTCTGATGACTAGTATTTTTAAATCTTTAAGGCAAGGGATTTACTGAATGATAACCCTGCCCTCAAAAACTTCCATATTGCTTAGTTCTAAAGACTCTTTATCTATTGAAAGACCCTATTCCAGTGTTTTGTGTTTATTTTTCTCTCCTAGCATTCTAGTTGTGATTCTGTCACTGGAATGTGATAATATTTTTTAAAAAGTTTCTACAGTCTTTTATTTTACTGGGAGTGTTCAATGGGTATAGAGTTTAGCTTTCTAGACTTAAAACTTAAACTGATTTCTAGTAAGAGTTTTCAATTTGTCGTCTATGTTATAATGAAAATTATTAAAATGCTATTAAAATGTTAGACAAATACAGAGACTTTTAAGATTAAGTGACTGGGGCTTGAGTTTATTTGTAGGGTCTTCTAGAATTTGAGTATTTGAATGCCTTTAGGGAAAGAAAATATGTAGCCTTAATTCCTGAGGGTGATTCTGGTAAGTAATGAGTGAGTTTTTTTCCCCTAATATTCTTAGTCATATATTGTGAACGTTCCATACTATCATGGAAATTTTTTCTAATTTTATTTTATTTATTATTCTAATTTTCAACTTGAGAGTGAAGTGTGATACAGAAAAGATACTTAAATAAAGCATCCTACTTTGTACTATGTGGTAAAAATTTATACATTTATAATCATAGTTGGAGACCATGTAAATTGGTCATAATGGTTGATTTTGTGTTCATTAATATATTCCAGTACTCATTTAAAAATTGTTGCTAAATATCAGATTAAAAGTGAATTAATGATTCTTTGTTGCTGAATTTATTTAATTGCAGTTGATCCTTGAACAGCATAGGTTTGAATTGTGTGGGTCTACTTACAGATTTATATATATATTTACTTATATTTATTTTATTTATATATATATTTATATATATATTTATTACATGATCTATAGTTGGTTGAATCTGTAGATTTAAAATCAGATATGGAGAGCCAACTATAAAGTTGCATGCAGATTTTCAACTGTACAGGGATTGGCACCCCTGACCCCTGAGTTATTCAAGGGTCAGCTGTATATATAATGTATTTATAATTCTTAAGCACTTAGTTTACTATGGAGCATTGTATTGGTCTTTAATCTTAAAGAAATCTTATAAATGTGTTATTTGTATCTTACCATTTTCAAGACACTGTATTTTATAGTTGTTTCTTATATTGTAAGTATTAAGCACTTTGCCTTTCTTGTTATTCCATCTACATTATAATGATGTGAAATTACAGTTAATGCATTTAATGAAGTTGGATTCGGGGAAAGCTGTTGAAGGGTGAAGAATGGCAGTTAAAAATACAGTGACATATGAAGATATTGATTCTTTTGTATAAAATTTTATTTTATAGCAGATTGGTATAGATCTCCTGATTTAGATTTCTAAACTTTGCTGAGGTTTTCTTTTTTAAAATATATAAATGAAGTTGAAGATTTTTTTTTTCAATTGTTTTTTCCTCAGTAGATCAGTTTTCTAAAACTATCTCAATTTTGATATTATTGTTAGAAAAAATTAAATAATAAAGGAACAATTTATGATAGAGCTGTTATTCTTATGATGTAGTGCCATTGGACTATACTTTCAAAGTTTTTTTTGATAGTTAGAACCATCTTAACAGTGTCTATTTAATATCTGTAGCACAATCCTTGTCTTGCTTATTTTGTGTGTGTGTCTAGTGTTGGACCAAATGTGTGTCCATTTATTGATGATCTATTTTTCTAAAACCATGTAAGGAACATTGGTTTACGTAGAAGTATACATAACTTATTAATAGACCTTAAAATGTCAACTTTGATATATTTTGAATTTTAATTTTTAGGGATCAGAATTAATTTCACAAAATATGTGAAAACTGTTGAATTTTAGCATAAACCCATATAGTCTTATACCTGGGAGTAGCTGACAAATTAATTGCTTTGTAAAATGAATTACATGAATCACAGCAGCTTTAAACTTTTTCTTTTTATAGCCTTACCTGAACCCATCCTTCCATCCATCCAAAAAATTTACCCAGTAAGTGTTTCTTATAAATTATTATAATACCTGTTATGACAAGTGTATGTGGAACTATATGTGCAATATTATTGTGAATAAAAATAGAAATAGTTACCTTCTAAGTTATGATAATATTTTCTACATAGGCTGAGATAAACATTGACCACTAGAATGTTAAAAATATTTCATATAATTTTTTGGAAGTCTCTGCTATTTTTTTTATTATTGGCAGACAGTCTTGTCCTTTATGTTAATGATGGAACTTTTTGTATGACACTGTTGATTATCATTAATGGGAATGAAATATACTTAGTTGGTGAAGGCACATTTGGACTCAGAACAGTTTTTTTCATGTTACTTTAAAATATAATTTTAGAACATTTCTTTAGTAGCTCAGAAGTTTTACAGCCTAACATACATGTAATTTGAAATCAGAGGAAAAAATTTCACCTAGAGGCAGGCATCCTGGAATGTGAAGTCAGTTGAGCCTTAGGAAGCATTGCTACAAAAGCAAGTTGAGATGATGGAATTCTATCTACGCTAAGTTGAACAGTTGGATAACCTTTTAATGTTTCATTTGATCTTATGAAGTAACATTCTAAGAGGTAACATGTACACTGTCCTTGCATGTACATTATTAAGAATCCTGGTGAAGTTAATTAGAAACCCTCAAGAAATGAAGTGTGCCTACTAGAAAAAGTTTAATATATACTCAGTTTGAGTTTAGAGAAACCTTGGTAATGTACATATTACTAATCTATATGAATATTTTTGTTTCTTTTCTAGTTTTTATGTTCTTTTTTTTTTTTCCCAGATTTCACTGTTTATTTATATAAGTTTTACCATTTCTGTTTTCCTCCATAGTCATTCTTGTTCCTAGTTTTTTTGGAAATAATATTTAAGCTGCTTGCGTAGAATGTTTGACCAGCCTTTTAAAACCACATTTTTTAACTGTTAATTCATAAACTTTTAAGAAGAGTTTTCTGAACTTACTAGTCATGCTGTATAGGAAACATAACATCCCTGTTGAGTGATCAAAGTTTTTCAAAGAACTTATTTTATATGTATGAGAAAATATAATAAATATGTTGACATAGAACCTAAATTAAATGTAATATAATCTTTGATGATTGAGAAGTGATGTTCTTGTTTTTGAACATCAGTTATTCTTGTAATGCTCACATGTGAGGTGCTGGATAATATAGGTTCACTGTAAATAGAGTCTTGCTGCAGTGGGGGCCTCTCAGTTCATGGTGGGTCATCTATGAGAAGAGACCATTTAACAAGAAGAACCTTCTGGAATCTGTCTCATCTTCCTCCTTTTAAAAATAAATTTCTGCTATGAAGAGCTATTATAATGAATGTATAGTACAGCTGGGTATCAGTATTTATGCTTTTAAGTAGTATGACAAAGAAGACTTCAGAAAGTGTAGAAATGTAAATAACATGAACTTTTGGATCTATTCTTGAATGTTTTCTTCCCTCTATAAAGTATTAATTTTTTAGTTCATACTGAAAAGTCAAAGATAATGACTGGGTGTTTACAATTTCATTTATTGTCCCAACTTTATTGTTCTTTAAACACCTAGGTTTCAGTGTAGCAAGAGCTGCATATATTGTTCAACATACAAAGGACTTAATAGTTTTAACTTACCTTTAAAGAATCTATTATTATGTTTTGAGAGATGCTTCTGTAGAAGCACTTAAAATGCTGTACTGCATGGAACTCTTTTTACTAATATAAAATGCTGATTAAGTTTCAGTTTAGTAGCATTATGCTGAGAATCAAGCATTAATTACTTTTATGATAAGATACTCAAATTCTTACTAGTATATTCTAGCAAATATAAAGTGTTCTCCTTAGAAAGGTTACATGATTGATCCAAGCTGTGTAGTCACAAATTATGAATGCAGGAACTGGTGTTTTTTCCATTATACTATGCTACCTGGGGAAAGGCAGAATGATAGGAGTAGTCAATTTGTGTTGCTTACAACATTTTATTTATTATCTATATGTTCCTATAGATGTTCCTATATGGATGTATTTGTATACCCTCCTTTAAGAAAAGCTGATATGACAAAATTTCAGCTTGTAGTTTGAGAATAATTAAAAAAACTTTACAGTGACAGAAAAACTTTCTTATTACTTTACAAGGGAAGAATGTTTTAAATTTTGAGCTTCTCTGATATAGTTAAAATAGGATTAAAAATGTATTGTTCAATATATTATTTTTTGTCATTTTCATGTTTCTTCAAAATTTAGAAAATATTAATTAAAAAGTTAGTGTAATATTTCAATTCAGTTGTGATATTGAATTACGAAAGAAAAGGATAAAACAGACATCTTTATCTTTGAAAACTATATCACGATATATAGCATTATTGATTATTACTTCTTAATTATTGACTTAAAGCAACATCAGTGATAGAGGACAGAGTGTTTACTATTGAGTTAAAGAAATGAAGTTGAGAAGTTTAAATATATAAACTTAGATTAAGTGTGTGAAGGGATTTTTATTTTAATGTAAGCATTTTATGAGATTTACCTACACTTATGCTAGGTAGATTTATCAAGACAACTTATATTTGTTTCCTTCCCTAGTGATATCTTCCTATTTTCAGAAACCAAAGTTAATTCCAAAGTAATACATTGAAAGTTGCCAGAGGTAACCATAGTGTGTTATTGTAGATGGCAGTTAAAATAATGATGATGCCTGGCATATACTGAATAATTAATAAGTAGATAATACTATTGTTACTTTTCTTTCCATATACATTGTATCATATAATTTGTATAACAGCCCTGTGAATGCTGTTATTTTCCTTGTATTATGGATGAAGGAGCTTGACCTTTTGAAAGCTAGGTAACGTGGTTAAGTTCATGTAGCTAATGGAAGAACAAGGTTTCATACTTAGGCCTGACTCCAGAACTCAGGCTCTTCACCACTTCATAATAGTACTTCTATTTTGTGTTAAATACTTTAACTCCTTTCAAAAGTTGGAAGATCTCATATCAGATGAAGTTTAAAGGCAATTTATTTATCAATCTTTAATATACATCACTAGATTAGTGATGATCTGCTTATAGTTAAATCTTGGTAGAACTTACGGTGTATCATTTAGTTCTTTCTATTCACGTATAACTCCACTTAAATGCTCTGTATCGGTTATCCTTTTCTTTGAGATCTTCCTCAACATTTCTTTCTAGGCTTTAATAATTCATATTCTTAGAAAATTGTGCAGCTTATATTTCTTTGCCTAGAGATGGAAAACAGTCATCTTTATTTAAGCTATACCTTTAGAACAGTTACCAAGTGAACAAGTTAACCCAGTTTAATGTAGTCCAGAATGTGCTTAATTGCCCACATTTTGGACTTTAAAGACTGTGACACAGCCTCAAAAAGTGATGGAGTCTGGCAAAAGATGTTTTTGTTAGGCAGTTGTATGGACAGAAACAGTGAGACTTTTCAGATGTTTTTTGAGATTACTTATTTAAATTTTTCTTAACTTGATATTGTGAAGAGAAATGGAAGATATGTGTCTTTAGCATTTAAATATCATTTGGAAAATGGTTTTAGGAATTAGGTTATTGCATATTTGGGTATCAGAAGCCCAAAATAAGACAGAACCTTAAAAAATAGTAAATACATTTTCTGTGTTAAAAAAATTAAACCAATAAATATCAGTACTCCAAAGGAAAAAAATGCTGTAAGAAACAGGTTTTGTATTGGTTAAATTGTTTTTCTATGGATTTAGATTGTAGTTTTAAAGGCTGCTTTTATTTCTTTGGCTTTTGGATTACTCTTTCTGTGCTTTCTAATGTGTTAGCTTAAACTCTGCCCACCTTCATCCTATCTAAAGTAACATAACTCTATTTCAATACATAAATGCAATTGGGGGAGCTCCTTTTAAAGAAATAACTTGGATGAAATTTTTCTTAAAGCAGAAAATCTTTCTGTACTATGAAGGATTACCAAAAATGGGGGTTACTTAAGGTTAAATAGAATTCCTTTTTACTCGTAGCTTCTTTTAGTTGGATCCTAATTTTTGTTTGTTTGTTTGTATTTCTCCTTTAGTTCTCCCTCAGTAGGTATGATATGACCCTTTGTACATATCATCTTGAAAAAGAACAGTGGCGCTAAGACAACACAGACCAGGGTCTTTCAGCATTTTAATACAATAGGTCTTATAATGCTACAGTTTTAATCTCACAATTACTGATGTATTTCTTTAAATTACTGAAAAAAACAAATTTTAAAGGAGGTTCAGACAGTTTTAAACTTCAAGTAAGAAAATGGCTGCTCTGTTTAGCATCATTTTGTAAATTGAATGTTTATTGTGCTAAGTGCTAGAAATTAAAATTAATAAGCTTTCAGAGCAGAAATTGTTAAAACAGTGACCCACTTTTCTTTTTCATGTCATTTGAACTTATACCTTTTTGTTTAATTTGCTGGAGAATATTATTTCAGTTTTACACTTTAAAGTCCTAAGCCCAGTTTTATGCTTAACAAGAGAGAAAGTAAGAATAAGACAAGCAAGAGACCTGTTCTCCCTTCTGCTATTACAAATCAGTGCTTGTCTCCGACCCCCTAATCTTTGGGATAAATAAGATTTCTACTTGGGTCATAACCTGTAATATTACATCTGTTAGATGTGTAAGGCAAGTCCCACATTTAGGAATGCCATCTTTGTGAATTGTGGTTGGAGTAGGATATTTTCTTCTGGCAAAAAGATAATCACTTCTTGGTAGTTAAAATTACTGATAAAATTATAGGTAATGGGGCAGGAGGAGGAGATGTTTCTATTTTCTTGCCCCTTGTTTTTACTGATGTATTTTGAGACTACCATTAAATAGGTGCACTACCCTATTTCTCCGTATTACTGGGGTTATTCAGATTTTACTAATTGAATTAATATCCATAAACCCAAGTTTGATCTGTTGGGTAGTTGAGAACCTTAAGTGTAGTTGTCATTCCGATGTCTGGTTAACCAATTCGTCTTTTTGTTTAATTGTTTTGTTCTTAAAACTGTTTCTACTTGGTGGCAAAGGAGAATATAGAAAACCTTTTTTGAGGGCACTGTGAAAATTACCTGAAAAAGTATTTTCTAACATAATGGATATGTATTACTTGAGAATTTTTATAGTTCAGTTTATTTTAGAGCCATAACTTTCTACTAATAAAGGAAAGATCAGATATGAAAATGAATGGCATTCCATAGGCAGAAAGAATAAGTACTCACTGGTATTCTTTCTAATAGGTGACTTCTTTGGGCCTAGAATGCAAGCACATGATATCCTTCTTTATGAATATTGTACTAAAAATGAATAGCTCAATATTGTTTGCTGATTTGATTTTTCAGGTTCAGTTTGTGTTGAACATTATTTATTTTCCCTCTAAAATGCAACATACAAAAATGAAATAAAATTGTAAAAAATCTTAAAATCAGTGTCAGTACTATTTATATATTAAACTTTAAGACCTTTGCGAGATTTTAAGTGGCAGTTAGAGAAAGCTCTTACCTTGAGATATATTTGTAAAGAAATCTATATTTATTGGATGCAATCTTGGTATGTACTATAAGGTTTTATTTATGAATTAAAAAACTTTTGCTCCCATGGAATTCATTTGGTTAACTGAATGATATACCTCAGTTGAGGATTAGAATGTCTTAGTTTTTCAGGTTCTTTCTGGCTTAGTCCATACATTGTTGAAATCTTTACTGGGAGCAAATCTTCAGATTTCCAAATCGCCAATGTAAAGAAAATTCTCCAGACAGCCTTATGTTAAGATTTATAAGGTTTTTGGGGAGGTGTGTTTTTAAATGGCCTCACACATTTTTCCTTTTTCTTTTTGATAGGAATCTTTTAGTCCTTCTGTACAGTTGCACCTTGTACATCAAGCGCCATGTAATGTTCCTCCTTACCTCTCAAAGAATGAATCAAACCTTGGGGACCTCTTACTGGGCTTTCTGAAGTACTATGCTACAGAATTTGAGTAAGTGAAACTTCAAATTGTGTATATTTGTTTCTGTATAAATGAATGCAACAAATTGAGTCAGAAAATGTATTTATCAATTTCATTGTTATAAACTAGTTCAGAAATGTGTAGATTATAAAATGTAATACCTAATGATATCCTGTTTCAATCTAATTAAAAAAATAGTAAGCCTACTATTTGGAGAAGGCAGTGGCACCCCACTCCAGTACTCTTGCCTGGAAAATCCCATGGATGGAGGAGCCTGGTAGGCTGCAGTCCATGGGGTCGCTAAGAGTCAGACACAACTGAGCGACTTCACTTTCACTTTTCACTTTCATGCATTGCAGAAGGAAATGGCAACCCACTCCAGTGTTCTTTTTTTTTTTTCCATTTATTTTTATTAGTTGGAGGCTAATTACTTTACAGTATTGTAGTGGTTTTTGCCATACATTGACATGAATCAGCCATGGATTTACATGTGTTCCCCATCCCAATCACTCCAGTGTTCTTGCCTGGAGAATCCCAGGAACGGGGGAGTCTGGTGGGCTGCCGTCTGTGGGGTCGCACAGAGTCAAACACAACTGAAGTGACTTGGCAGCAGCAGCAGCAAGCCTACTATTAGTTGATTTCAGTAGTGATCCCCTTTTATATTAAGCTGTCTCTTTACATAGTAAGACCTGAATAAATATGTTGGTCCTGTGTCAGGTCAGTCGCTCAGTTGTGTCCCACTCTTTGCTACCCTATGAACCGCAGTACGCCAGGCCTCCCTGTCCATCACCAACTCCTGGAGTCCATGCAAACCCATGTCCATTGTGTCGGTGATGCCATCCAACCATCTCATCCTCTGTCGTCCCCTTCTCCTGCCCTCAATCTTTCCCAGCATCAGGGTCTTTTCAAATGAACCAGCTCTCTGCATCAGGTGGCCATAGTATTGGAGTTTCAGCTTCAACATCAGTCCCTCCAATGAACACCCAGGACTGATCTCCTTTAGGATGGACTGGTTGGATCTCCTTGCAAATGCTATATAATTTGGAATATATATTTTGTAGGAACTTAAAATTTGTAATAAAAAAAAAACAAGCTAAAACAAACTTGGAAAAAGATGTAGTTAATACTGGATATTTGGATAAATAGTTGTGTTTGTATGATATATACATCAAAGAATACTTCTCATTTTTTTCTTTTTTGGCGAGAGTGATACGTAGACATGAAACAGTGAAGTGTGTAATCAGGCTGGCCAAAACTGGAAGTTCTTATGGGAGTTCTTAGTCCAGATAGAGTAGAATTAGGAGTTGTATGCACCTCTTCTGATCAATTTGGGAAAGCTTGAAGGAGGGAATGAGAAAATTTAAGAGTGGTAAAACATTAGAGGAGGAGAGTACAATAACCGTAGGATACTGTTTTGGAAAGGTTTGGAGGGGGGAACAATAATGTAAGAGTAATAATTGCTATTACTTGGTGGGAAAAACTGTTCTAAGGAGATCATATGCATTATCTCATTGAGTTTACATGAGTTGGTGTTATTTTATGCCTGTTTTACCAATGGGACATATGGAGAGGTAAGGAAACTGGCCAAAAATCTCATAGGTAGTAAGGGGAATATTTCAGATAATTTTGAATGCAAAATTCACTCTCTTAACTGATACTTTACTGAAATGTTGATACTGTCTGCTGTCATACAGAGGTTTTGAAGAAACCTGACTCATATAAGATGAAACAGGGCCTGAAGAAGTATTATTTAAATTCCTTCAAATAAACTTCCATCTATTTTGTTTATGTTTGTATCTCCATTGCCTTGCCCAATGCCAGATAGTTGGTACTTGGAAAATACTTGTTATAGAATCATTTTGAAGGATAAAGATTATGGATGTAAGTCAAAGATCTTAAGGTGACTTAAAAATTAACTGAATTAGGTTAACAAAAGGAGTAAGAAAAGTGCTAAAGGAAAGTAGTTCAATAAGAATGAAGTTTTAATAATCGAGGTTAAAAGTGATTAGGACCTGAATGTAAGTCTAGGCAGCAAAAATATAAAGGAAAGAGGAACCTTTGTTTATATAGAGATGAGGAAAGATTTAAGTCTATATGGGACATAAGAGACTATAAAGATCATTCTGGAGTTAAGATTTTTTTAAGATGTTGCAATGATAATAGCTAATGGTTCATGAATGTTTACCTAGTGCCCTGCAGCATGCTGAATGATTCCCATGTATTATCTCATGTAATCCTCACAAGAACCCCCTTTCAAGCTTTGGCAGTTTGTGAACTTTGTCCTCTGATGATACAGTTAGATAATTGTATTCAGTTAGAGAACCAGGACTCAGATTCCAGTGACTCGAAAGCCACATACTTAATTGTTAGACTGCATCAGCATATCTGTGGTGTTATGTCAATTAGATATGGGGGGAGGTTTGTAGAGAGGGAAAGGATTCATAGAAGAAAGGTATTTTTCTGCCATGTTGAGTTTAGGATTAGAGCATCTAGGGAAATGCCTTGAAAATCAGCTGCTTTTCAAGTCAAATGACTGAAACAAAATGATAGACGTTCAGGTTTGTATGTTAGTTCACTTTGAGCTTGCTGTGTGGTGTGACATGGCACTAGAATGCTGGTGCTTGGAGAGAGATTTTGAACTTTTAGATACACTTATTATGGTGCATGATTTAGGTGACATATTTATCTCCTGTTTGATCATGTAGTGCATTGTTGTTTCATACCAGATGTTTTCAGAAGTTTGACTGCAGGGAGCATAGCCAAGAGTGCAGTCATGGTAATGAACCAGGTGCCTGTTTAGGAGTTCTCGCAGCCATTAGAAGGGTTTGTAAGGGTTTCTTCTGAAGTTTGAGATACTCAGTTAAGAGATCTGAAAGACAAAGAATTAAGTGCCTGTGAAAGGATGCTAGAGTACATGGTATAAATGTTGCTGAGATTTTTATACAGCCATTTAAAAATTGCTAAGATTTTCTTACCTACTTCACTCATACCTTTCTCCTTAAACTTTGCTGCTGAAAATTACAAAAATGAAGCCAAGTTTCTAGAAATGTACCCAGGAGCGGGGAACTGACAGTATAGGAGAAAGGGGGTCAGGTGGCTCAGGGAATCTGGAAAAATACAGTCAGTTTAATCATTTTGTATGTTAAGAAAAAGAAAAGTGTAAGTTTTAAATATCTTATAGACTCATAGATACTGTAGATTCTAGGAACCTTAAAAAGTATCTGTTTTATAATTGCCTTTATTTTCTTAATGCCTAATCACACGTCATTACTGCTAGTCTCTCTATTGAATTAAAAATACATACTTATATACTTAAATACATACTTTTTTTAAAAAAAGGAAATACAAAGGCCCAGTTTTTCTATCTCCTTTCTTATTCTTACTTATTCCTTATTTTATTTAATCAGTAAACCAGTGAGTGCCTACTGTATACCAGGCTATTTTCTCTGCACTGGGGATATGGCAGTTAAAACTGTCTTCATGGAGTTTATGTAGAGAGAGTCTTGGAGAGATAGACAATCAATAAATAAAATGTATAGTATGTTAGATGGTGGTAAGTGGAGAAAAATTTTTTTAAAAAGATTCTGATGTTTTTAGTTGTTGCAGTTTTAATACGTGTATTGCCATTTAATACCTAGCATAGAGAGAGAATATTCTCACCAAAAAGGTGACCTTTGAAAAAAAGACCTAGTGGAGAGAAGTTGTGAGTTATGTGTCTACATGGGAGAAGAACTTTCTAAACAGAAGGAAGAGCAACTGCAAAGACCCTGAGGTGGAGGTTTGCCCATGTTCAAGGAACAGCACAGAGACCAGTGTGACTGGAAAAGACTGTAGAAGTTAAGGATGTCAGAGAGTTGAGGAAGTCCGTGTCCTGTAGGGTCTTGTCGTGAATTTTGATAACTTTGAATTTTTCTCGAGAAGTGGGAAATCACTGAAGGGGTTTCAGTAGAAAAATTAATGTGATCTGATTTAGTTTGTAACATGCTTCTGGATGAAAGCAGACTGAAGGGGGAGCTAGAGGCAGAAGCAAGGAGACGATTTAGGAAGGCATTGTGGTAATCTCAGAGAAACCATGTGACTTAGTTAGATAAAAGTGGCTGCAGTGGAAGTGGATGAGAAGTGGTCAGATTTTGCTTATGTTTTAATTTGCACCAGATTAATGTGACATAAGAGAAAGAGAAGAGCCAAGAATGACTTAAAAGTTTGAGACCTAAGCAACTGAAAGTATGGAGATGTCCCTAGATGCGAAGCGAAAAGCAAGGGAGAAGCATTACTGATTTTTAATGTTTTAAGGTTGAGATACCCACAAAACCAAGTAGAGATTTTAAGTGAAAGTGAAGTTGCTTAGTTCCTCCGTCCATAGGATTTTTCAGGAAAGAATACTGGAGTGGGCTGCCATTTCCTTCGCCAGGAGATCTTCCCAAGCCAGGGATTGAACCCGGGTCTCCCGCATTGCAGGCAGGCGCTTTACCGTCTGAGCCACCAGGAAAGTTGGACATTTCAGGCAGAGAGTTGGATATGTAAGTCTAGAGTGCAGGAGACAAGTCACAGTTTTAGGGGTTTTCATCTGATAGATGGGATTTAAAAGCTAGAAAACTTTTTGAGAAAACCAAGGGACTATAAATAAAAGAGAGAAAAGGTCCAAAGACTAATAAACCCTTAGATACTCCGATGTCTTAGGTATACAAGGTTAAGAAGATAATGAATGTTTTAAGTGATGCAATGAAGAGAGATAATTTAGAAGGTAGATACTCTGTGAAACGACTGGCCTAATTTCTCAAAAAGTCAGTCAGTTTAAAAAAAAGTGGAGGGAACGTTTCCAGATTAAAGAGATGAAACAATCAAATTCAATGGATGAAGCTTGATTGCAGTCTGATTGGGGTGGCAAAATTATAAAAGGCATTTGAGTTATATTAATGTCTTTTTTTCATTTATTTTTATTAGTTGGAGGCTAATTACTTTACAATATTGTAGTGGGTTTTGTCATACATTGAAATGAATTAGCCATGGATTTACATGTGTTCCCAATC